AACAACAACTAGTTCTTCTACTGGCACAACAACAACAACTAGTTCTTCTACTAGTACAACAACAACAACTAGTTCTTCTACTAGCACAACAACAACAACTAGTTCTTCTACTAGTACAACAACAACAACTAGTTCTTCCACTAGCCCAACAACAACAACTAGCTCTTCTACTAGTACACCAACAAAAACTATTTCTCCTACTGCTACAAGTACTTGGACTGATATTATTGTCACAGAGCCAACTGAAGATTTCTTTACAACAGTTTCAAGCACTCTCTCCAGTAGTTCTTATACTAGTACAACAATAAAAACTAGTTCTTCTACTAGCACAACAAATACTTCTTCTACTAGTACTACAACAAAAACTAGTTCTCCTACTGGTACAACAACAGATACCAGTTCTTCTACTAGTCCAAAAACAAAAACTAGTTCTTCTACAAGTACAACAACAAAAACTAGTTCTTCTACCGCTACAAGTACTTGGACTCCTTTTCATATAATTGTCACCGAGCCAACTGAAGATTTGTTTACAACAGTTTCAAGCACTCCCTCCAGCAGTTCTTCTTCTAGTACAACAACAGAATCCAGTTCTTCAACTAATGCAACAGCAAAAATCAGTTCTTCTACTAGTACAACGACGAAAACCAGTTCTTCTACTAGTACAACAACACAAACTAGTTCTTCTTCTAGTACAACAACAAAAACTAGTTCTTCTACTAGCACAACAACAACAACTAGTTCTTCTACTAGTACAACAACAAAAACTAGTTCTTCTTCTAGTACAACAATGAAAACCAGTTTTTCTCCTAGTACAACAACAAAAACTAGTTCTTCTACTAGCACAACAACAATAACTAGTTCTTCTACTAGCACAACAACAACAACAAGTTCTTCTACTAGTACAACAACAACAACTAGTTCTTCTACTAGTACAACAGCAACAACTAGTTCTTCTACTAGTACAACAACAACAACTAGTTCTTCTACTAGTACAACAACAAAAACCAGTTCTTCTACTAGTACAGAAACAGAAAGCAGTTCTTCTTCTAGTACAACAACAGAAACCAGTTCTTCTACAAGTACAACAACAGAAACCAGTTCTTCTACTAGTACAACAACAGAAACCAGTTCTTCTACTAGTACAACAACAGAAACTAGTTCTTCTACTAGTACAACAACGAAAACCAGTTATTTTTCTAGTACAACAACAAAAACTAGTTCTTCTAGCAGTACAACAACAACAACGAGTTCTTCTAGTAGTACAACAACAAAAACTAGTTCTTCTACTAGTACACCAACAAAAACTAGTTCTCCTACTGCTACAAGTACTTGGACACCCTCTGATATCATTGTCACCGAGCCAACTGAAGATTTCTTTACAACAGTTTCAAGCACTCTCTCTAGCAGTTTTTCTACTAGTACAATAACAGAAACTAGTTCTTCTACTGATACCAGTACTTGGACACATTTTGATACCATTGTTACCGAGCCAACTGAAGATTTCTTTACAACAGTTTCAAGCACTCTCTCCGGCAGTTATTCTACCAGTGCAACAACAAAAACCAGTTCTTCTACAAGTCAAACAACAGAAACCAGTTCTTCTACTAGTCCAACAACAGAAACCAGTTCTTCTACTAGTACAACAACAGAAACTAATTCTACTAGTACAACAACAGAAACCAGTTCTTCCACTAGTGCAACAGCAAAAACCAGTTCTTCTACTAGTACAACAACAACAACTAGTTCCTCTACTAGTATAACAACAGAAACCAGTTCTTCTACTAGCACAACAACAACAACTAGTTCTTCTACTAGCACAACAACAAAAACTAGTTCTACTACTAGTACAGCAACATTAACTAGCTCTTTTAATGGCACAACAACAACAACTATTTCTTCTACTAGTACAACAACAACAACTAGTTCTTCTACTGGCACAACAACAACAACTAAATCTTCTACTGGCACAAAAACAACAACTAGTTCTTCTACTAGTACAAAAACAACAACTAGTTCTTTTACTGGCACAACAACAACAACTAGTTCTTCTACTAGTACAACACCAACAACTAGTTCTTCCACTAGCCCGAAAACAACAACTAGCTCTTCTACTAGCACAACAACAACAACTAATTCTTTTACTGGCACAACAACAACAACTAGCTCTTCTACTAGCACAACAACAACAACTAGTTCTTCTACTAGTACACCAACAAAAACTATTTCTCCTACTGCTACGAGTGCTTGGACTGATATTATTGTCACAGAGCCAACTGAAGATTTCTTTACAACAGTTTCCAGAACTCTCTCCAGCAGTTCTTCTACTAGTACAATAACAGAAATTAGTTCTTCTACTGATACCAGTACTTGGACACATTTTGATACCATTGTAACCGAGCCAACTGAAGATTTCTTTACAACAGTTTCAAGCACTGTCTCCAGCAGTTCTCCTACCAGTGCAACAACAAAAACCAGTTCTTCTACAAGTCAAACAACAGAAACTAGTTCTTCTACTAGTTTAACATCAGAAACCAGTTCTTCTACTAGTACAACAACAGAAACCAGTTCAACTAGTACAACAACAGAAACCAGTTCTTCTACTAGTCCAACATCAGAAACCAGTTCTTCTACTAGTACAACAACAGAAACCAGTTCAACTAGTACAACAACAGAAACCAGTTCTTCTACTAGCACAACAACAAAAACTACTTCTACTACTAGTACAGCAACAACAACTAGCTCTTTTACTGGCACAACAACAAAAACTATTTCTTCTACTAGTACAACAACAACAACTAGTTCTTCTATTAGCACAACAACAACAACTAAATCTTCTACTGGCACAAAAACAACAACTAGTTATTCTACTAGTAAAACAACAACAACTAGTTCTTCTACTGGCACAGCAGCAACAACTAGTTCTTCTACTAGTACAACAACAACAAGTTCTTCCACTAGCCCAACAACAACAACTAGCTCTTCTACTAGCACAACAACAACAACTAATTTTTCTACTGGCACAACAACAACAACTAGTTCTTCTACTAGCACAACAACAACAACTAGTTCTTCTACTAGTACAACAACACCAACTAGTTCTTCTACTAGTACACCAACAAAAATTATTTCTCCTACTGCTACAAGTACTTGGACTGATATTATTGTTACAGAGCCAACTGAAGATTTCTTTACAACAGTTTCAAGCACTCTCTCCAGCAGTTCTTCTACTATTGCAACAACAAAAACCAGTTCTTCTACAAGTCAAACAACAGAAACCAGTTCTTCTACTAGTTCAACAACAGTAACCAGTTCTTCTACTAGTACAACAACAGAAACTAGTTCTACTGGTATAAGAACAGAAACCAGTTCTTCTACTAGTGCAACAGCAACAACTAGTTCTTCTACTGCTACAACAACAAAAACTACTTCTACTACTAGTACAGCAACAAAAACTAGCTCTTTTACTGGCACAACAACAACAACTATTTCTTCTACTAGTACAAGAACAACAACTAGTTCTTCTACTGGCACAACAACAACAACTAGTTCTTCTACTGGCACAAAAACAACAACTAGTTTTTCTACTAGTACAACAACAACTAGTTCTTCTACTGGCACAACAACAACAACTAGCTCTTTTACTAGTACAACTACAACAATTAGTTCTTTCACTAGCAAAACAACAACAACTAGTTCTTCTACTAGCACAACAACAACAACTAATTCTTCTACTGGCACAACTACAACAACTAGTTCTTTTACTAGCACAACATCAACAACTAGTTCTTCTACTAGTACAACAACAACAACTAGTTCTTCTACTAGTACACCAACAAAAACTATTTCTCCTACTGCTACAAGTACTTGGACTGATATTATTGTCACAGAGCCAACTGAAGATTTCTTTACAACTGTTTTAAGCACTCTCCCCAGCAGTTCTTCTACTAGTACAACAACAGAAACTAGTTCTTCTACTAGCACAACAACAGAAACTAGTTCTTTTACTAGTACACCAACAAAAACCAGTTCTTCCACTAGTGCTTCAACAAAAACTAGTTCTTTTACTAGTACGACAACAAAAACTAGTTCTTCTACTAGTATAACAACAAAAACCAGTTCTTCTACTAGTACAACAACAGAAACTAGTTCTTCTACTATTACAGCAACAGAAACCAGTTCTTCTACTAGTACAGCAACAGAAACCAGTTCTTCTACAAGCACAACAACAGAAACCAGTTCTTCTACTAGTACAACAACAGAAACTAGTTCTTCTACTAGCACACCAACAAAAATTAGTTCTTCTACTGATACTAGTACTTGGACTCCTTCTGATATCATTGTCACAGAGCCAACTGAAGATTTCTTTACAACTTTTTCAAGCACTCTCTCCAGCAGTTTTTCTACTAGTACAACAACAGAAACCAGTTCTTCTACTGATTCAAGTACTTGGACTCCTTCTGATATCATTGTCACAGAGCCAACTGAAGATTTCTTTACAACAGTTTCAAGCACTCTCTCCAGCAGTTCTTTTACTAGTACAACAACAGAAACCAGTTCTTTTACTGATTCAAGTACTTGGACTCCTTTTGATATCATTGTCACAGAGCCAACTGAAGATTTCTTTACAACAGTTCCAAGCACTCTCTCCAGCAGTACTTCTACTAGTGCAACAGCAAAATTCAGTTCTTTTACTAGAACAACAACAGAAACTACTTCTTTAACTAGTACAACAACAGAAACTAATTCTTCTATTAGTACAAAAACCAGTTCTTCTACTAGTGCAACAAAAAAAACAAGTTCTTTTACTAGTACAACAACAACAACTAATTTTTCTAGTAGTACAACAACAGAAACTATTACTTCTTCTAGTGAAACAACAGAAACTACTTCTTCTACAAGCACAACAACAGAAACTAGTTCTTTTACTAGTACAACAACAAAAACTAGTTCTTCTACTGATACCAGCATTTCTTCTACTAGTGCATCAACAAAAACCAGTTCTTCTACAAGCACAACAATAAAAACTAGTTCTTCTACTAGTTCAACAACAGAAACTAATTCCTCTATTAGTTCAGCAACAAAAACCAGTTCTTCTACTAGTAAAACAACAGAAAATAGTCCTTCTACTAATACAACAACGAAAACCAGTTCTTCTACTAGCACATCAACAACAACTAGTTCTTCTTCTAGTACAACAACAACAACTAGTTCTTCTACTAGCACAACAACAAAAATCAGTTCTTCAAATAGTGCAACAACAAACACAAGTTCTTTTACTAGCACAACAATAACAACTAGTTCTTCTTCTACTAGGACAACAGCAACTAGCAATTCTACTAGTACAACAACAACTAGTTCTTCTTCTAGTACAACAACAGAAACTAGTTCTTCTAAAAGTACAACAACAGTAACTAGCTATTCTAGTAGTACAACAACAGTAACTAGCTATTCTACTAGTATACCCATAAACACTAATACTGTTACTACCGTCCTAACAACTGCAAGTACTACTGCTGTACCATTAATCATTGTAACAGATGCAATCCAAAATACAACTAAAACTAGTTCTGTGAGTAATATAGTAACAGAAACAAGTGCATCTCCTAGTTCACGATTAGGAACATCTGCATTAAGTTCTTCTACAAATTCAAAAACTGATACCAGTTCTGGTTCTTCTTTAAATACATTATCATTATCCAGTTCAGCAACAGAAACTAGTTCCTCTACTATTACAACAACCGAGACTACTTCTAATCATAACTTTTCAACAGAAACCAGTTCTTTTTCTAGTCCAACAATAGAAACCAGTTCATCTACTAGCACAACAACAGAAACCAGTTCTTCTACTAGCACAACAACAAAAACTAGTTCTTCTACTAGTCCAACAACAGAAACTATGTCTTCTACTAGCATAACAACAGTATCCAGTTCTCCAACTAGTACAACAACAGAAACTAGTTCTTCTTCTAGTACAACAACAGAAACTAGTTCTTCTACTAGCACAACAACAGAAACCAATTCTTCTACTAGTACATCAACAGAAATTAGTTCTTCTACCATTACTAGTACTTGGACACCTTTTGATATTATTGTCACAGAGCCAACTGAAAATTTCTTTACAACAGTTTCAAGCACTCTCTCCAGCAGTTCTTCTTCCAGTCAAACAACAAAAACCAGTTTTTCTACTAATCCAACCACAGTAACCAGTTCTTCTACTAATACAACAACAGAAACTAGTTCTTATACTAGCACAACAACAGATACTAGTTCTTCTACTATTACAACAACAGAAACCAGTTCTTCTACTATTACAACAACAGAAACCAGTTCTTCTACTAGTTCAACAACAGAAACTAGTTCTTCTACTAGTACAACAACAGAAACTAGTTCTTCTACTAGTAAAACAACAGAAACTAATTCTCCTACTATTACAACAACAGAAACCAGTTCTTCTACTAGTAAAACAACAGAAACTAGTTCTTCTACTAGTACAACAACAGAAACTACTTCTTATGCTAACTTTACAACAGAAACCAGTTCTTTTACTAGTCCAACCACAGAAACCAGTTTTTCTACAAGCACACCAACAGAAACCAGTTCTCCTACTAGTACAAGCACTTCGACTCCTTTTCATATCGTTGTCACAGAGCCATTGGAGGATTTCATTACAACAGTTTCAATCACTCTCTCCAGCAGTTCTTCTACTGATACACCAAGTAGTTCTTCTACAAGTACACCAACAGCAACCAGTTCTTCTACAAGTGCAACTAAAACAAGTTCTTCTCTTAGCACATCAACAGAATCAACTAGTGCTAGTACAACCGGGAATTCAAGCACTGCTTCAGATATAATTATTACAGAACCAACAGAGGAATTCTCTTCAAATGAATTTAGTTCTTCTACTAGTACAACAACAAAATCTAGTTCTTCTACTAACACATCAACAAAAACCAGTTCGTCTACTAATACAACAACAGAAACTGCTTCTATTACTAGCACAACAACAGAAACTAGTTCTTCTACTAGTACAATAACCGAAAACAGTTCTTTAACTAGTACAACAGTATCCAGTTCTCCAACTAGTACAACAACAGAAACTAGTTCTTCTGCAAGTACAACAACACAAACCAGTTCATCTACTAGCACATCAACAGTATCCAGTTCTCCAACTAGTATAACAACAGAAACTAGTTCTTCTTCTAGTACTTCCACAGAATCAACTACTGTTAGTGCAACAACAATTNCTTCTGCAATGACTACTGCTGAAGAAGACATAATGGATACAACATTGTTACTGATAGAAACTAGTTCTTCTTCTAGTACATCAGAAACCATTTTTTCTTCAAGTACAACATTAGGAACTAGTTTTTCCTCTAGTACTTCCACAGAATCAACTACTGTTACTACAACAACAATTTCAAGTACTGCTTCTGATATTATTGTCACAGAACCAACAGAGGATATCTTTTCAACTGAAACTAGTTCTTTGACTAGCACAACAATAGAAACCAGTTCTTCTACTAAGACAACAACTGAATCTAGTTTGTCTACTAGCACAACAACAGTATTCAGTTCTCAAACTAGTACAACAACAGAAACTAGTTCTTCTACTAGTACAACAGCAGAAATTACTTCTTCAACCAGTACAACAACAGTATCCAGTTCTCCAACTAGCACAACATTAGAAACTAGTTCTTCTCCTAATACTCCCACAGAATCAACAACAATTTCAAGCACAGCCTTTGATACTATTGTCACAGAACCAACAGAGGAATTCTTTTCAACACAAACCAGTTCTTTTACTAGTACAACAACAGAAACCAGTACTTCTACTAGTCCAACAACAGAAACCAGTTATTCTACTAGTTCAACAACAGAAACTAGTTCTTCTACTGGTACAACAACATCAATCAGTTCTTCTACTAGATCAACAACAAAAACCAGTTCTTCTACTAGTACAGCAACAGAAACAAGTTCTTTTACAAGTTCAACTACAGGAACTAGTTCTTCTATTAGTCAAACATCAGAAACCAGTTTTTCTACTAGTACAACAACAGAATTTAGTTCTTCTACTAGTACAACAACAGAAACCAGTTCTTATCCTAGTACAACATTAGAAACTAGTTCCTCTACTGGTACAACAAAAGAAACTAGTTCTTTAACTAGTTCAACAACAGGAACTAGTTCTTCTTCTAGTCCAAGAACTGAAACTAGTTCTGCTACTAGTATAGCAAAAGAAACTAGTTCTTCTACAAGCTCAACATCAGGAAGAAGTTCTTCAATTAGTCCTACCACAGAAACCAATTCCTCTACTGTTACAACAATAGAAAATAGATCTTCTGCAATGACTACTGCTGAAGAAGACATAATGGATACAACATTGTTACTGACAGAAAATAGTTCTTCTTTTAGTACAACAACAGAAACCATCTGTTCTAATAGTACAACAACCAAAGCCAGTTCTGTCACTAGTACATCATTAGAAACCAGTTCTTCAACTATTACAACAACAACAACTTCACAATCTTTACTGACAATAAGCCTTCCACCGTTCACTTTTCCAAGTTTAGAAACCACCCCTTCTACTGAAGTTACAGTTACATCAGAATCTACCAGCACAATATCAGTTACTAGTAGTATTTTGATAACTTCAGTCACTGCATCTACAACAACTCCTGCAGACAAGGAGTGTAATAAAACTATTGTAAAAGTTTGGTATCCAAGACCAGACCCAGTTTTAGGTATTTTTATACTTACTTTAAGAAATGTGATTATTAGATCAGGGACTTAAATTAATGCATTATATTAAACCTGTGTACCAAAAAATAGTTCAAATTAGTCCATACAGTTCATTTCCTTCTATTGATTAAAATTGGTCTTTTGTTGTCTATGATTTATACATCTAAGGGGTACTGATGGGTTGAGATTAGCATTGTATTTTTAAATGAACAAAATTTTCGAGAACAAACAAAATTTTTGTAAAAAAGGTGTTGTTTAGAAAAAAAACTAACTATGGGTTTTAAAATTATTTGAACAAATTTAAAAGAATGATAGTTTTTTAAACTGAATGAAGTAATTTTTTTAACAATTAAAAACAAATTTATTACTGAAGAACGATGCTAAACAATCTTTTAAAAAAACTATTGTTTTTCAACTGAAAGAATGATTTTATTGAACAAAACAATTTTACTAAACAATTGTCTAATGAAAAAACGAACAAAATAGATTGAAAATTAATGATAATTTGAAGAACAAATGAAATCAAATTTTTTTGAACAGTTGAAGAAAAACCCAATAAAATGGGTCGTTCATAAATTGTCCACAAACAATGAATGAACAAAATAAAAAAAGCTGAATGCTCAAATCTCATTTATGGGCATCATTTTCAGTTCTGAATTCAAGCATTTAAGGTTATTGGATTTTGAAAAGGCTTCACAAGAATCTGATATGTTAGTAAAATATTTTTGGACAGAGAAAACAATGTTGCATAAAGGGAGTTTTTGCAAACAAATTAAATGGGGTATAGGCTTATGTTGAAAAATATTCGATGAATTGTTTGGAATTAAATTGATTTTTTTACGATCTTAGTGGAATATTGCAACTTTATGAATTTGTATGGACACTACATTCTTCAGTGTGAGTCATCTTTAACAATTTTCTCCTTATATATCCAACAAATAGAAGTAAGATTAGTAGAAATATTTTTTACATAAGCCCATACCCCCTTTCATTTTTCCCAAACACTTCCTTTAATGTAATAAAAGCAAACTTTTAGAATATCAGGTTTGCATTGTGTCCAATATCTCAGATTCCTTTAGAGCACATTTTAAACTAAAAACCTTGAATGTGTAAAAACAGACCCCAATACAATGCTCATCATTCTAGGGAGTCACAAAAATGTTATGAATTAGATATTTTTTTCAATTTAGAGTGTTTACAAATGCATATTACTTTTGTAAAATGTATATCTTATGTTATTTTTCACAATTTACTTTTGATCCTATAAACTACTTTGTTTATCTACTTAATTAATTCAATTTTTTTTGAATAATTAATTGTGCTCCATATACAAACAGTACTTTTTCCTTCAAATGGTGTTAGGTATTTTCCCTTGGGTGACTTGCCAAGTGACAATTTCCCAAGAGGCAATTTCCCGAAATATGGAATTTCTTGTGCGGCAACTTCCAAAAGGTAAGGTTAGGAATTTTGAGGCACCCCAGACTGCAATGAGGGCCGAGTTCTGGGGCTAGAACATACTGGGAAAGTTGCCCCTTAGGAAATTGTACAGCCAAGAAGCTGCCATGCGGGAAAGTACCTAACATTGATCTAATTACAGTTTAAAAACCCTAATATTGTTCTAGACATGAATGGATTCAATGAGGTGGCTTTTGCATCATGTTCTGATGAGTGTCGTCAAGCTTGCCTTGATATGCTGGGATGTGTATTATGGATGTGGATAAGTCCTCAGCACCCTGTCCCTCAAGTCAGAAAGAGATGCTTTATGAAATCAAAAGTTCCTAATTTGGTAGCTAGCATAAGTAAGTTATATTTCTTTTCAACCCAAAAGTGCACATGCATTATAAATTGAAAGTTTTCAAAAAATTATGATAACGGAAATTAACAAATTTAAGCTATATTGCTGGACTAACTACTGCTGGTTCAAATTTGAATAACTGATTGAAATTTAAAGATTCAAATTCATTAAATCCAACCCACAACAAAAATACTGAAGTTAGGCAACAGTGAAAGTAGACATCCTGGAATATTCTTTCTTGAAATAATTTGTATTTAGATGTGAACCTCTTTATGGTGGTTGGATCCATTGAATCTGATTCAGCACATTATGGTTTACCTCAACCTCCAACAACAACCATGCCGACAACAACCAAACACAGAACATATGACGAAAAAAATTCTATATTGATATCAAAGCTGATAAAAGAAGCATCAGGTTTAACAGTTTTTGTCCTTTAAAAGAATATTTAACAAAAATGTGAATTTTTTTCATGTTCTTTAAACTTAAAAATTAATTGTTTTCTATTAGGTTCATTTGAAGTTGTGCTAGAATTTAGAATATCAAAAAAATTAAATTTAATTAATTAAATTGTTTCAGAAATAGACAGCACTATATGTGGAAGACCTGAATGCTCGAAACCTGGATTACTAATTGGAGGATCAGGTTTAGAACTTTGAACCTAATTAAAGCTGTGATAATAAATTTTACTACAATTATTTTTTGAAAGTTATACTTTTATACGTCTTTGGCCTGTTGATTTCAAGCAGAATGCTGTGTTGTAAGGAGTATTCTCCTAAAGGTGAATTAGCTTTGTTGTCTGAATAGGAGTATCAAGATTATTGAATAGAGAAAAAAGCACTATAAGAGGCTGAACATGATTGAATCTTTTTATATAACGATGCACAAACAAAGAAAAGACTTCATTTTAAACCAATTTTGTGCACCTTAACAGTGGTTTAATTGGATTAAGAATGACAAAATTAATGTTTGAAGGATTTTAGGCAGGAAAAGACCACAAAAACACCGGAAATGGTCGAATAAATATAAAAGTCTAATCTTAAAAGCAATGATTCTAAAAGTATGTTGCCAGAGTGCTTGACATGTGCTTTTACATTGTAAATAAAAAAATGAAAATGGTTCGGGCAAAATTTGTTCTAAAGCCTCTGACATAGAACAAAGGGGATGACATTGATTATGGATCTCACATGTAAATCAAAACCAGTATTATCCTCAAAAGCCCTCCCTTGCAACTTTCAATCCTCAATATCTTTCTTCTTTCAATCGCTCCTCAGGGATCAAAAAACCACTCTGATGGATTAAGTTTGAGATCATTCTTAAAATTTCCTTTCTGTGTCAACAAAGCTGATTAACATGAAGGAAACCCTCCTTAAATAAAATCAAAGATCTAATTAACATCAACTGGTCTGTAAAACTTTCCAGAATTGATATAGAAAACTTTCAGCACTAAAATTACAGGGCTGAAACTTCAGAGTATCCTTACATTTGTTTAGCAAAACTTATTGATCACACCTAGTATATACATATTTACTTATGATCTGTATATGTCTACATTTTTTACTATAGGGGCTCCTCAATAATGTGGCCCTAAAAGTGTGTATGCATTGCACTGTGTTTTTATTACCCAGTGTTATGCTAATGGAAGAGAGAGATTGTCAATAGAATAGGAGGGGTGAGCCTTGAGAGCCTAGTACATACATATATAGACATGCAAGAAAGTCTTCTAAATAAAATTAATATTTGTTTTTCTTCTACAATGTGTGTAAATACATAATAGAAGAAGGAGGATTAACCACAGGTGTGATATGATGTTTTGAATTAGAATGCAAAAGAAAAGGACTTTTAATTCAATAATCTGCTCTTGTTTTTTCAGCAACATTGATAGAATTTCTTCAACTCTGTGCATCTTGTGCCAGAATCACATTAATTTCACAAGAAGAGGATTGTATATGTATATGGCGTACTGTTATTTTTTGCCTTTTATTGTATGCATGTGTACTGTCAGCTTGCTCTTATATGGTTCAAAGTCAGCCTGGTATTTTAAATAAACTGGAGTTTCCGGTGTTGTGTGCATCCATGCTGATTATTTTAATATATTTTAGGGCTGCTTGGCTCTCCAGTAGTGACAGAGTCAGCTGAAGTGTGCGCATGCCGCTGCAAGTACACACGTGGATGTATATTATGGCAGTGGTTACATGAGTCAGCTGCTGAATATAAGCTAAAAAATCTATGTTTTCTGAAATCTGTGATAAACATGAATACAACGCAACCATATCCAGCAATATCTGGATTCATGCCCTGTGAAGGGAACGATTAGTTTTTTAAAAATTTATAAATTTTCAAATCATACATACTCTAGCATTTGTACATATTTTTGGATAATTATGATTTTTTATAAAACATTCTTGAAGTTTTCTTCATCTTTAACAAAGTTTTTAATTTAACACCTGCATAATACAGAATATTCAAATTGCAAAAGAAACGTTTAACCATGAAACTTTTCATTAAAAAAGCTTAACATACATCCAAGCTAACAGATCTTTCATTTTTTAAACCAATAAATAATAGATTTGCGCATTTTTTTTTATATCCGAACTCAACCTTACCGGCCTAACAAAACAGCTAATAATTTATAAGGAGGGTAAATTAAATCTTTTTATTGTAAATTTAAGTTTTTTTTCTTTAATTTGTTTCATGAACAAAACTTTTAAATTTCACAAACCTCGAAGGGACTGTAAATGTGATTTTAAGTGGTGATGCTTTGTGATAAAAAAGTACCAATCTTTGCTATAATACCCTTTTAAAATTATTCAAGTATCAATAATGGCTTGAACAAAACTTCCACATTTATTAAAAAGTACAGATTTTTTGGATAAAATTTACAGAACACTCTTCTACTCCTACATATGTAATCAAATTATTAAAATAAACACTCGCTTAAATTCACATTTACGAAACTGTGAGGTCAAAGGGAGGAGGATTCCAGATACTGCTTTTCCAGTTATTTCATAGTTTTTATAGCTAAATAATATACATATATATATATAAATAAATAAAATTTGACTTTTTTACTTATTTCATCTTTACACCATACTTTTTTGGGTCTAAATTCATTTAATTTAGGGCCTAGGCCCCATTCCAAATGGGAAAATTTTAGATTCCTGTTAAACTGTTTTCAATTTGTAATCAAAAAACTTAAAGAAGTAAACTAAAATCCAGGTGTGAGGATGACGTAATGCCTCCTTCTTTAGCCATTTTGAAGTTAAGCCTTATGTTCTGAACAGGGAACAAATTTAAAGAATTTGAATTAGGTTGCTGAATTACCTACCACCAGTTCAAATCTTGAATCAGTGATACAACGGGAAAGTTTCAGGGACCAAATTTAATTAATTTGAGCTATAGGTTGCACTCGCTGGACTAACCACAAGCAGTTCAAATATTTGATCGTCGATTCAAAGTTAAAGATTCATAAAGATTTGAGTCAGTGGCGGTAGGTAGTTTAGTGACATCTCCAATGCATTCGGTCCCATGAGGATTTGAATCATTAATTGATCCTTTTACTTTTATTAACAGGAATATTAATGTTTTAATATTCTATGTCGACCATTGTACTAAATCAAAAATAATTAAGAAAGAGCATAATAATAAGTTAATTGAAGAATAGATTCTAATAAGAGAGATTTAAATCCAATTTCTTAATTTAAATCAAGAAGCTGGGGTACTTGAAAACCAGGATACGCGGGGGGGGGG